TTAATGTTCGGCTCCGCCCGAACTTAGACTTTCTTACTTGTTTTATTCAGATTTCAATAACAAAATACAGTGAAGAATAATACAAAATATTTAACTGGCCGACGCGACAGACTGATAAAAAAAGTTTATTTTGAAATGTTGTCATTCAGAATTTAATCCTATGCTCTCGATTTATGGTTGTTATACTGCTGCTCTTTCTTATAAATAAATATCGACGCGAGCAACTTAGACAGGAGCTATGTTCCAAAACTTTGTAGGGCGTTAAGAGTAATTTGCATACCAAAGGCAGGCAAGGCCTGTCATGTATCCTCTAGGGACTTCAGACCAATCAGTCCCTCAGGCAGCATTTGTTATTAAGTTAGTTGACTGCGCGGATGACACAGTCCTTATTGTTCGTAGAAAGTCCTAAGCCAACCTGTATGAGCTTGGATTGATCTTTTCGCAAATAGTATTAAACTTCTGTTATCTTCGCTGACAGGGTGAAGTATGTTGCCTGCTCATAGTTAGAAAACTATTTGAATATTGCCAGAGAGTGCTGAACATCCCGTGATTCCAGGCCACAGAAGCATTACTGGACGCTTCAGACCCCATCAACTGGTGAGACGGGGTACTATTGAGTAGCTGTTACCGTGTAAAGAGCAAGTGGTAGCACCATTGGTCATACTTAGTATACAATTGGAAGCATATTTAGTTAGCTCCCCGAGCGCTAAGCAAATGCCTTAAGATGCAAGGTGAGGGTAGGTGGAAGGCGGTCAATTACCGGTCGCATCCCTCTATACGGTCTATTATCGACTGAAATCCATGCGATTCGTCTCACCATCGGCTGCTTGGCTGTCTTACTTTGAAGTTGAAGCACCTAAGATCTCACCTTTTTAGGTGTCCTTTTCTTGACTTTCTGTTAATGTTAAGAACCAGTAGATGTGATTAAAGAGAAGTTAAATTTTAACAGGCAGTCGAGAAAACGGCCCTCAAAAAGGTTTCAGCAAAAACTAAACAACGCTTGTGAACATTTAGTATGGGTACGCAGTATTTTTCTAGCTTCTTTTCTGTTCATATTTTTCTCCTAGAGAGAGCAGAAAATTGATTGGTGCTATCACTTCTCCGAGCGCTGTATTTATAGTTTATGATATCCAATAGCCTACTGGTTCCTCTACATATCTTGCCAAAGTCACAACATTTCAATAATCAACAATACCGACAATAATGAAACATTATTGCGTATTGAAATATTTCGAAATGCAAGTGACGAAATACACTTTGTTGTATGAAGTGTGTGGCCCCCCGTTGCACACGAGCAGCCAAATTGTGAATGCCCGTTCAAACAGAGTAATGGAATGAGTTGCGGGCGTCGAATGCCAAATAGTGGACAAAGCTTAGGTCAAAATTCCAAATTCACTAATTAGCAACGGACCCAACTGGACTATAGTATGCACAAATGCATTGCTACATAACATTTCACGAGCGGGTGTTTATTGTATGTAGTTGCACTAGCAAAAATGTATCAATAACCGGAAGGCTTATGGCGCACAAAGCGATTTTAGAGATGCATTGAAAACGAACTAACATGAACGCATACGCACTGCATACAGCAACAAACAGAACAAAAATTATATTAAATTCTAACATGACAAAGGGTGTATAGTTAGTTGTAACCAAAGGGAGTTCGCAATGTACATATGAACTTACCGTGAGGTAACGATAACCCAACACCGAAATGCAGCCGGCAATGATGCCAATTAATATAGCGCCATGCGATCCAACTAGTAAATTACAAACAGTGCCGATGGCAACACCGCCAGCCAATGTTGAATTTTGTACATGCACCATATCCAATTTGTTCTCGTGACTAACAAGTGCTGACACTATGAATGTTGTAACTGAAAATACAAAAAAGCAAAAAAAAAAAGAAACAACGGAAAATCAAAATGACTGAATAAGGGAAGAGAATTGTATATCTAAGTATGTATATTGGAATTTTCAACATACTTGTAAGTATGTATATAATAGTTACAACATATACATATATCTGCAATTAGCAGAACATAAGAGAATGCATGATAAATGAACTTATGCCAAATGAAAAGGCACACAAATAGCAAAGCGCACAGAAATTTAAAAAAAAAATACGACTATAGGTTTGTATATTGCTCCCGTGGAAAAATTCAAACTGATGGCTATGATGATATTTGATTTTTATATATGTAGGTATGAATGTAAATTAGGTTGGGCCAATATGGCATAGGAGTATTCTGCGTGAAATTTTAAGCAAGTTTGCAGAAGAAACCAAGAGTGCTAAATCAATTTCGTTTTTTTTTTTCTCAGCAACGATTTACTTTGCGGTAGTGACGTAAAAAAGTGTTTGCTTTTTTTATACGAGAAATTCACTTCTGGACTTATATAATTTAAAAAACAGCACTGAGACTACATGCCATCCATTGTACTGTTGTCATGTCCCTTTTAATCTGTTTTAATCTACGAATACCTTAGCAGATGATTGGGTGCCAATGAGCTCAGGTGTTCGCCTCTCAACACATCGCAGCCTAATGCTGCATACCTACTCCCTGCAAAGGCGGGGAAGAAGCTCAAAAAGTGTTTCGCCATCTCATCCTTTTCAAGGAGGGCTGGGCAAATGGACTTGTGATGTATGCCTATCAAAGTTAGGTGTTTGTCCCAAAATGTGTGAGTCCGACCGTCCGATTTAACCAGCATTCAACCGCAGGGAACTCAACATTATAGAATCAAAGGTAATAGTGGTCTAGGAACTAAATATTCTGCGACATTCAAAATACACAAGTGCTCAGATCTCTGCCGGTAGCCATTTTCACCACACCACACTCAGTGTTATACCAACATCCATTTCTTCTTAGTCTGCAGGTGATGTATAAAGACAAAAAGTGACGGGAAGTGAAGCAGTGCGACAAGACCAGCGCAAGGTTTTGTACCGTACAGCACACGGCGATTGTTTTTGAGGTTTAGCAAGTAGATTTCCCCAAGTTATTGATTGAGAGTCTGCTCTACTACACCACTGACACATCGCTGAATGTGGGTCTCATCGTAGAGGTATAAATTCAGAGGATTCCCTTTGTTGGCAGACCCTTCGTTTTGCTAAAAACTGGTTTACATTGCCAAAATGCCTTAATTAAATGCTATAATTAAAAACAAAAACTATATGTTGGATTCCGCATACCAATAAACCCATTATAGCCAGAATTGCCATAAGAGAAGATTTATCTTCAAAATTAAGATTTTTCGGGCTACTTTTTGCATTAAAAATCTTCAAAAAATATTTTTTAAAAAGCAAAATTTTACACTGAAAATATCTTAAAAATTAAGATTTTTCTGTATGATGTAAGATTTCAAAAATTTAAGTAAAATTTGTTAACTTTTTATATTTTCCCTGCTACATGATTGTAAGTAGCAAATGAAGGAAGAAGAAGGATGTTTTTTATGATGAATATTTTTCTGATGAATATTAAGATCACTCATAAGGCGAATGCATAAGAAAAAAAAAAAATACAACAATTACTTGTATTTTGTCTTCGCTCTTAGCGGGCCATTGTCAAAACTCAGCTATTTTTCCCCAAATGAAAAAGGGCGACAGAAAATACAATAATCTCACGTTTTCACTCACTCACTAGCGGAATACAAAATTTTGATAATTTTGTAAGCCTCTTGTCATCAATTCTTTATTATCATTTGCAAATAAATAATTCCCTTAATTCAAGTAAATTTTTTTTTTAACAGGTGGCAGCCCTCCTCCATGAGTATAGAATTGATTTTATATACATATTTGTATCTTTACCAAGTTCTTGCAATCTATAAAAAATATTTTCTGAGATATGATATGCGGCATGAAAATTCCGTTCCGTTCCGTTCCGTATACTCGAGATTAAATCTGTCCTATATTTTAAGTTAGGCTAAATGGCATTAGTGTAGAGTAGTTAAAGCGTGAAAGTGTAACCAATAAAAAACTCACTTTCGGATTTATAATATTAGTAAGGATTAAATGAGGGAATATGGAAATTTGATTGGAGATATGTATAAGGCCTAGTAAAAAAAAAAAATACTTAAATAAATCCAGACAACTGGTAATTAAATGGTGGTTGGGGTTAACGCCTCACTCAAGCGATTTACAGCTTCAATCCACCAGCTCATCTTTAGTATAAGCAGAAACTGGTGTAGTTGTTTCAATTAGTTTCTGTTGCTAATTTGCTCCTCTTTTTTTTCCAACCACACTCAATAAATTCTTAACCATAAGCAATGAGAACACACATGCCGATAAAATGTTAGCGATTTGATTTTCACCACATTGCTTTGGCAAACTTTAGTATTACGTTTAGAAAAGGCCATAAAAATTATCATGCCACAAGCATGTATGACCGTACGAAAATAATCGAGGCTTTTCAAGCAACACATACTCGCACACACACTCGCATTCAAAGGCAACATGGCAGCCGTCTGCCGTAGCAGCTGCGTGACTGCAACAAAATCATACTACATGCACTTACATGTAAATACTTGTACACGTAAATACCTACATACATGCTTATGCGCGTGTTTTTTTTTACACAGACTATGAAAATGCAACAGGAATGTGGCGCATTTCAGGCGATGCCAATGCAAATTCACGCACTGCTGCTGCTGCTGCTGTCGATGATATGGCTAGCAACATTTTTGGTGATTTAGAATTTGGTTTAATTGGTTGGTTGGTTGCCCGTCTGCTTGTGCGGTGGGCTCTGCCTTGTTGCATGCATGCACCTACATACATACATACATACATATATATTTACACGTGTAAGCTTTGGTTGTGTTGCCCTGGTGTTAGCAAAAATTATTGCACATTATGTTTACGTTATGTTGCAATGTTAAGCACCAAATGGCATACAGGCACTAGGTGGTAGAGTTTTCAAGAGGTTACTAGACACTCTAATACCCAGTTTACATTGTACACCGCAGTACACTTCGGTAACAGCACTGCCTCTTCTGGCATTTTTGAACAACTTTTTAGCTTAAAAATCAATTAAACAAGCATTTTCCACAGAGCTACTACAAATGTTTACAACATTCTCGTAACACCTGCTCGTTATGCAATACATACTACAACACATACATATGTTGTTGTAAACCATTCAATTTACTTTACTTATGTTTATACATAGATACTTGCTAGCTGATGGGTGTGTGTCGGTCTGTGTGCATGCGTATAAGTGTATTACCAACGGGACATATGAATATCAGTAAACAGTTTAAATTAACACCGCCGCCGGTGTCATTTCAGCCATAAAATGTTTTTGCTAAACAAAATGGCAGCAACAATAATAATAACAACCGCACTCAACCGCACAACCACCCTACTACATTCATTTGCTTATATGTAGTTATGTGAGACTTAGTATGTAAATAGTAGTGCAGCAGCTGGACTAGCAAGCAAACGCAGGACACTATATTTATTCAACACTTGCCACACACGTGCTAGATGGCTCTTGGGTGGTATTCGCATATGCACACACACACACAAATAAATACTCATACGACATGGTGTACAACATGACGGCTTGCATGTTAATGCTGCCCTAATGCCCAATACAAGCGAACTTGCCCGAACTTTAATTACATCAGCGACAAGGGCTCAGCTAAATGAACAAAAAAAAACAAAAAGAAAGCAACAAAAAAAAGAGACTTTTAAGTGTTTTTGTTTAACGTTGCATGCTTGTATGTAGCTATGTATGTTTGTACTTAAAATTTTATGTGGCTTTTTTTTCGGTCAAGTAACTTTTTATATGGCGGCGCCTGTGGCTGGGTAATTAGAAGTGCATTGCATAATATTTGACTCTCCATCGGACCAAAGTGTAATCGCCAAAATATTATATTATTATTATAGCTTTTTATAGAACTTTATAATACTTATTTTGTAAAACACTAAGGGTCGGTGGTCGGTTGTTCAATGTTTGGTTATCGAGCGTCGACGACCTCTCGCCAAAGCGGGATAGTGGCATTGGTAATGCACCATGATTTCGATTTCCTCAGCATTACGGCAGCTACGACAGTAGTCGTTTGACTGCAAACCCATTCTAGCAGCGTTTGTTTCCATTTGGCTATGCCCGGTGAGTACACCAATTGCATGTCGGAGCAGTGATCGCTCCAAGTGGAGGAGTTGGCTAGACCTACGCTTATTCAACTTGGGCCAGATATGTGTTGCTATCTTGCACGTAAGCCCCCGAAGACCAGCTAGAGTTTGAATTAAGATAGATCGCACTGATAGCTGACAGTAAGGTTACTTTCCTTGCTAGTTCGTCTGCAAAACAGTTGCCTGGCCTGGCCCCCATACAACATTAGTGACGTAGATTGTCAAGATTTGTCGAGTAGATTTGTAAAAATTAAGTGCTTTAATAGCTGCCTGGCTATCAGAAAATATTCGTAACCGCATTCAGACTAATAAAATACAATGTTTTTAAGTATCAGAACAAAAAAAGAGATAGCTCCATGAAAAAGTGTCAGCACGACGAGTTGAGTTGATTTAGACTTAGACTTAGACTTAGACTCAAGATCGGTACTTTATAACATTTTTCTCCTATACCGCTGATTGTTCAGACATGAGTTCACTCCTACGTTTAAGTGGCAAAAAATCTAACCCGAAATGTTTGCCTTAACTCCAGTACTCACTACGCTCCTAATTACTATCTATGTAGTTACCAAAATACTTAGAACAATGTTAACTATTCAAATTTGTTTGCATCTAAATATTGTAGTTATTATTACCTGAGTTTTAATGCTTGTCAAGAGAAACGTGCCAGGTTTTCTGTCTCCGATTTTAACTCAATTACTTAGATCCATTGAATTTCACTTAATAACTTCAATCTTTAAGTTAAGGTACAATTTATCCATATCAATTACCTCCCCTCCACAATGAGCCAGCTAATTTCTTTCGTCGTCTTTGTTTGGCATACAATTAATTTGTTATTTACGATATAGCATTTTATGTTGTTGGCAGCAGCGCCCACGTTGTTGCAACGGCTAATTCATTCATTGGAAACTATGACGCACATTACTTACATACATACATACATACATTCTACTATATCCTCCTATAGCCTACAGCAGTTTAGTGCAAACTGTTTACGGGTTTTCACGTAGTACCAGCTACTGGCCCGCACATTTTCCACTTCCTTTGCTTTACGCTCAAAATGGATGAGTGTCGTTGTCGGCTGCTAGCAACCTAATGTGTTTTCCTGAGCTTTTTCCTTGTTGGTAACTAGGCTGTCATTGTTGTTGTTGTTGATATGTACGAGTATACATACATACACGGAGGTATGTAGGTACATATGTATGTAGTTATTATGTGACTACGGACAACTTGGTTGCGCCGCAAAATACGCAGGGACGTAAGCCCCTTTGGATTGTCCTCAACCAAGTCAATGTAAATAAATGTATTCTATGTTGTTGCTAATTTCATTGTGTTATTGTTATTGTAGGTGCTTTTTGAACGTGTTTAAAATAATTTTCAAAATGTGTTAACGCTGATGTTTGACATTTAATTAGTTTGTGAGTGGAATACGAAATTTTGTCGCGTGATCAGCCCTATGTCAAATTTACCGCAGATGCTTGGACTACGAGTGCATATGTATACTTATATAGTGCTTCTCATAACTATACGACACGCACATATCGGCAAGTTTTGGCTATATATTTTATTTTTTTTATAAAAATATTGTTTATTCTTTCACAAAAACCGTATAAATCCCAGTTTTGATCCTTGTGCAATATATAAAAAAAAAATCGGCAAACTTGCGTAAAAATTTCGAAATTTTATTTTGTGGAAGGTGTTGCTCATATTTCCCATATAAAAAAATCCTAGAATAAAAAAAAAAATGCCAGAAATTAAAAGTAACACCCATGATAAAAATATAGTAAGGTAGAACCGCTGAGAGTCACTTCTAAAATTCTTGACGTTTCCAAACAATTTAATTTTTAAATTTACTCACAAACTCACACACACATTTTCATTTTCAATCTCAAGCAACAACAATTTCGAACAATTTCATTTTTTTATTTTCACTTTTATATGATTTTAAAATGTTGGCAAACTTCAAAAAAAAATCATGGCCGACAAATTGAGAGAACGGTTATACCTTGCTATGTTTTTATCATGGTAACACCTACCTGATCCATTTTTCTCTTTATCGGAAATGAAATTTGGAGCCGCCTGTATACTCCAAATATTTCCAGGAAATCTAATTAAAAAGTAAAACATTTTTAAGAAAGAGTTTCTGATTTTCTTTAAGTTTGAAACTTGGATATTTTTACGGTTTTTGTTAAAGAATAAATTTCATTTTTATAAAAAGAAAAAATAACAACGTAAATAGCCAAAACTTCTCAATATGTGAGTATAGTATAGTAACGGTTACATACATTTAAGGCATATATACATATATGTAAGTACATACATACAATTGCCTTTAGAAATTTCGTAGAGATATATCACTATACACATTTGAATACCTGCATGCTCTCTTGTTCGTCTCACGGATAACGGTTGCCACACAAATACGAGCACATCCATACATATGTATGTATAATACAATAATTCTGTGCAGAGACTTGCATTCATTTGCAAAAGCTCAGAATACTTAAGCTCATACATTTATACAATCATAAACCTACATTCATATATACATACACACATACAGTCATGGCCACATAATTAGGAAAAAGACTTCGTTACAAGTATCGACTATTTTTTTTTTCTTTATTTATTTTGAATTTATTTACTTTTACCAAAAGTATAGTTTACACCATAACCCAAATAAAGTATGTAACTCATGCCCGGTTTCACCAATCAATTTTAAAACTTATCAGACTGATAAAATTTAAAATGACAAATTTTCCAAATAAATTTTAACAAGCTGATAAATTTTAAATTGATTGGCGAAACCGGGCATTAAAGTTTCAAATTTTCTACAAGATTTATAAAAACCGCCAAATTTAAAAAAAAAATGTCATAAAAATTGCAAAATTTTTAATCAGAATTTCAGACTGATAAAATTTAAAATGGCAAATTTTCCAAACAAAAGTATGTGATTCCAAATTTTAACAGGCTGATAAATTTAATATTGATTGGTGACACAGGGCATAAAAGTTTCAAACTTTTCCATTAGATCTATGAAAAAATTTCCAAATTAAAAAAAAGGATCTTAAAAATCTCAAAATTTTTAATCAGAATTTCTAGAATAAATTGACATTGATTTATGAAATTTCTTTTGCTGACGGCGTGCTTCATTTTCTTCCATGCAAAATATGTTCGGAAATTTTTTTATATCTAAGAAAATGAGCAACACCGCCAGCAAAAAAATGCTCTAAAATCAACGCTTTTAAAACTTGCACAATATTGTACTGCATACCCGAATTTTTTCTAGAAACTCTGACATTATAAAGTTTGAAATTTTGAAGAGCAGTTTTTCATTTGGCATAGTGTTCCTAATTATGTGACCCCCACTGTATATAGAGTTTTAATGTTTGTAGGCAACCTGCAGCATACAATTTACTTCAATGCGTTCATGCGTAAGTGTGAACACAAGTACATACTACTCTCTTGTTCTTGTTCGTGTTTGTACACTTGAACCATTGGCCATTGTTCGTGTTGTGTTGTGTTGTGTCGTGTATGTTCTCACATTTGTCGGTGTTGTCGTTGTTGTCGTTGTTGTCGGTATTATTGGAGCTTTTGTTGCTTTCGTGTGTGCTTACCTGTTGCCGCTGCTAATGATAAATACGTGTTGAGTATGGCACGCTCTTGGCCATTGCCATCGGCCAACACTGAATTAAAGCTTGGCCAATACACATACAGGAACAATGTACCGACCATGGCAAAGATGTCCGATGCATAATTGGCTCCTTCGTATTTGCCTGCCTCGTTTTGGTCCTTGCCCGGGCGCAACATTAGACTAACAGCCAAGCCAAAGTATGCACCGAAGGCATGCACTGTAATTGAACCACCAACATCACAGATCTGTGCGTGGGTGAAGATGGAGAAAGAGGAAAAATAAAAAAGAAAAATAAAAGAGTAAATAAGTATTTATTTCTTTTGGAAAAAAGTGTTTACAGCCAGCGAGTAAAAACAGCTGCATAATAAATAAATACAAAAAAAAAAAGTCCTGCATCTTTGGTAAGTAGCAGCTGGTCGTCAGCTTTGTGTGGCAAAGCGCTTTTGAAGAAGGGCTTTGGCTATTTTTCAACGAGCTACGCACTCTTTGCTTTTGCACTGACTATTTAGTTGTAAAAAAAAGTCTAAATAAATACATATGTACAACTTTGAATTAGTATACGTTTATTGCTATGTATATAGAATGTTTTCCCTGTAGGAAATCACACATTGAATGCTGTTTTAGTAATTCTTTTTTTTTTTTTAATTTGTATGTGAGCCGATATACTCGTAGACTCCCAAATAAATTCTGTGCCTAACTTTTGCTGAAAATTTTTTATTCTTTAATAACGATCTTTAATTAACTACTTCAAAGAAAGGTTAACAAAATCCATATTACGAGGATATAAATATTATTATTTCTAATAAAATTTTCTGTAAAACTTTTAAGGCTCCAGCTTCAATTTTTAATGAATTTAAATTGCACTTCTTCGAACAAGGGTCAATGAAACCCGTTTTGGTAGGAGTTAATGGGTTTAAAAGTTCTAAAAATTCGGTTGCGATTCCAAGTAAAAACCCTAAAAATATTAATAATATAAATAATATCCATATCAATTGCAAAACTTAGAGTAATAAGTTATTTGTACAATGGCTCAAGTGTCATGTTATAGTAATCACATTACTAGATTATTATTTAGAAGAGTGAGTAAGGCATCTAGCCACCGGGATCAAGGACGATCTATTGTAACAGGCCTCCGTTTAAAAATTGCTTTTATTTATCTTACAAACCCTACTGGAGTCGATTGTTGATACCTTTCGCAGCTATCTTGCTGATCTTAAAATATCTTTTGAGGATATTGAATTATTTAATCTGACCGCTGTTCAGTACGTCAAAAACCTTCAATAAAGGATAGTATATTTTGTGATTTGAAAATTTTGTCGGCCTGTGTTATTGGAAAATGGAAGCTGCCAACATAAAGTGTTTAAATAAGAACTTAAGTTTTGAAAAATCAATGATCATTGACTCTGCAAGAATGCACGATAGTAGTTGAAAATATCGGCTCCTTAGAAACGTTACAAGAAAAAAAGTGTATTGACGAATTATCTCAAGAAACAATGAATTCAACTTCAAGAGGCCTTCTATGGGCTGTGGACTGTCCTACTTGAAACATGACGAGCCGATTTGATTCTTTCAACAAACTTGAATTGACATGATTTTTTTTTTTTTGGGGGGAAATATCTTGAGGTAAATGGAGTAATCCTGCAAAAGCAAGCAATCTCTTATAACAAATTCGAAACTTTAGTATTAGAATCATCTCTGAAACGTACCATTGAAACGACCATCTCAATGTTGGCTGACCGGAAAGTCCAAGATTTTCTCAACTTAATTCATGTAATTATGGAACAATGCTTCTAGAAATTTTCCTTTTTCAATTTTCCAAGAGCCATGTTGGAGAAGACAGTTCTTTTTGCCTACTCGTCAACTTCAGAATCTATAGCCATTCTGCCCTCAAAGCATAGACCAGGGATGACCTACCTGATACGGAATACTTGTAGCTAATATGCTTCACAGTTGCTTCATTGGATTCAAGTTGTTATTTCAGCAGTGGCTTCATCAATAATAGCCTAACATATAAAATCTTGACTTGGTTGACCGTGTGAGTACTAGCAGAAATTCGATTACCAATGCTTCGTTCATAGTGGGTGGAAGTGTGGCCAGAAATTCCTTCGATATTTCACTAAAATACTTTAATTTTTTGGTAACAAAAAAAGGTTCTGTAGGAGTTTAAAAATATTTCCTTTTGGGTTTTCATGCAACAATCTTAACGCTACCTAAAGTTGTCAAGTCCACTTTTTTTCAAAATTTAGTTTGAGATCTGCAGAATGACAGATAATGCTAAACCACATCGATTTTTTGTCTCTACTGAATAATTTCTAAAAAATGGACTTGGCACCTTTTCACCTTTAGGTAGCAATAAGCTGCCTCTTTGAGCACCCGTCATATTCAATAGTTTAGAGTTTGTCAGATTATAAATGCTTGAACATATTTTTTTTATACAAAAACTCTTTTGAATGCGCAAAGTATTTTGTTTTTATGGTTTGTGGACAAGAGTCTCAAAAATCGGACGTATTTCCCATTCGGTTTTATACATACATGCACAGCTATATATTTCTTGCTTTATTTTAGTTGTGCTTTACATACTTATAATTTTAGTACATATGTACATATATATGTATGTATTTGTTTATGTGTGCTATACTCATACACAACTTAAGAGGCGTTCAGTTAATCGGATTTAAAACAGGTACTTTGTGTCGAGGCTTTGTGCTGCAAACGTTTATAAATATACTAGTACTACATATACATGTACATATGTATTTTTAACTATATTTTCCTATACAAGGTCTAACAGGGAAGTTTTTAAAGTGTTGCAACTTAAGCAAAGGTAAAATAATTAATGAGCTTTTCTCTTATTATTTGTTCATTTTTTATAATGAAATTACATCTGGCTTGTTGGTATGTGGAGGTGCTTTTAAAACAAACACGAACTTCAATGACTTTAAGCAAATGAGTATACTTCCGCTATTTAAATACTTAACAAAGCTTCACAAAGTTTAACTAAAGTTGCACCAATTTTTTGGTTAGTAGCAAGGGTATAGGTAACAATGGACTAAGGGGAATAAGCTTGTCGAACTTTTCGTACTGTTTGCTATATGGAAGTCTCATTTCAAATGAAATGTAGAATAAAACGTATTACTATTATATAAACGATTCAAAAAACTATTTAAAACATTCACTGTAATGTAAACTATGTAAATACGGGTAACAAATGGAAGAGGACATTCTGTAGAATTTGAAGGATTTAATTTTTTTGGTGCTCATCGACGAATTGGTATTGAAAGGACCTTTTAAAATTGTATCCTTAAGTATCCTTGAAAATTTCAAATTTTTATTTAAAAAAAAATTATACGTCAAGGGCCAACATATATAGTACGACCATAGCCTCCAATTTATTTTTTCAAACTTTACCAGTTAAGGGTAAAAAATATTAATCAAAAGGGCATATTCAATACCTATTCGTCCTTGTGAACCAAAAAAATGTAATTTTTTTATTTCAACAGAATTTTCTATTTCTTTTGTTACCCATGTTGTTATTCCACGTTGCGCTGAATTTTTTTTAAATATTTTGAAATAATCATATCTCATATATAAACTAAAAACGCAATTCTACTATATATATTTGACCCCTAGTTTCCTTATTATATTGAATGCTTCGTGTGTTTTGATATTTTTTGGTTTTTTACAGCACGGTGTTATCGCACACACTTAGACCATAAAAGGTGTGTTTTGTCGTATCTAAATTTGATCCGCAGGTTGTTAAAGAATAGTCTCTACCTGTATACTTACAGTTAGCCCGAGAGTTTGCGCTTCGCCAGCTGCAGGATTTCCCTTGAACTTCCGCAGCCTATACCGGCCGAAGGACTTTACAACCTAGCATATCGGAGCTTTCGCCTAAAATAACCAGGCGTACGTCACGGGTTCCGACAGAAACTTCTTCCTACTAAGAGATGACTTCAAAAGCATGACGTTTAACTTTGTCCTTTGATTTGATAGTAATCCTACAGAGGTACAGATTCGGTCTTGCCAAGAGGTAACTTAAGAGCCCTGATTATTTCCTGGCTATCAGAGTGGAAGTTTGCCCTTTATCCCTTTAATAGCGGCCATCATGTGCGTGGGAAAAATTCAGCAGAAATCCTGCAGCCTTATAGAAGGTCTACGAAGAGTCCCTCTGCCAACTCTGCCTGCCAATTTCGAACCATTCGTGAAAATGTTAAATGGACCGCTATCTCATTATGTTTCCCTAGGCAAGAAGTCGGAAGTTTACAAAGACTGCCGAGTGCTCATACGCTGGTTTGAAGGAAAGAACAAAAGCTTTTTAGACCGATGGTGAAGCGAACTGCGGCAGACTTACACGCAATGTCTACGGTTACCGTTAGTTACAACAAGGTAGGTCCTTCCTTATAGAGATTTTACAGCAGTATAGAGTGATCACCTAATGTCTCTCTTACCAGCTCCTCAATTTTTGGTTCCAGGATAGCTTTCCGGGTTAGCATTCCAAGTGGAATGCCACCGATCGAGGGAAGTTTGGCATTGGGCACCTTATATCGCCAAGGGAAGGATACCTCGGCAACCCCTCACAGTTATGCAGTGATAATGCCATCTAGTCCCGGAGACTTGAAGGGCTTAAAAGAGTCAATCGCCCAGATAAGGACCGCGCAGTCCTCAACGTAGCACTGCTATATTGAAATGGTGCAGAATTTTCTGAGAAATCGCCGTCGAGGAATAGCTTAAGCGATGCTTCTTCGCCGGTTGCCTAGTTGCCCAGCTAATTCTTCAAGAATTTCAAGGGAACATAATTCTTTACAGGGATGCGTGTGAATCACGAGCTTTTGCAGAGTTCCCCAAACACTCGCGTTTGGCATTTCCTACCGCGGACTTAGAGGTATTCAGTCCGACCTTGTAGAGCTCCTAATCGCAATGCATCTAAGTAATCTTCATAGATTTATAAAAAATATGCCTTCTCTATGCTCTGCGCTCCGAAAGCTCCATCGTCCACCAGTTCGTCTTAACTTCGCCCCAATTTAGACGACTACTATCGTATGAATTTATTAATGCATACTTACACTAAAGATATTCAAAGCGACATATTCGTTTGCCGCGAACAGCACAATTTCTATGAGAGCCATGAATAGCAATTGAATTGGTGTGGTACGACCCAATAAGGCACCCATACTAATCAATGGAACAGCAGCAGCAATATCTGCATCAATTATACTCTCCAGCGATAAGCTGCAACGAAAAAAACAAAAAAAAAAAACAAATTATGCAGGAAAACATTTAAAATAAATGTATAGAAATATTAAACAAAGAATAATGGAAAAAGAATTGAGTGGTTCATAACAAGAAAAATGTGAAAAACATGTCAGAGTTGAGACTTTTACGCTCGCGGCACATCATGATTGAGATGTAGCTGGATATAAAGGATGCAAGCAAATTTAATATGTTGGCTGAGAAAAGAAAAGGAGACTATGGTGGCTGTGTCGCTATAAGCCTGCAGCAGCGCTGAGTAGATGAAACCACTGATAGACAGTGCATTGTACAAACAAGTATACAGCCACATACATACATATGTACATACATATGCACGCATATAATGCGATAACAGCAACAGTTGAAAGGTGCTTGCTAGACACCTGCACAACGGGTACGCGTGCCCGTGTTCGCTCTGTTGAAGTTAAATCAACAGATTGCAGCTTTGGCGTGTATGAAGACAAATCGCTTTGTGTTGTAGGTGCATATATACACACATACATACATATTTACATATGTACCTACTTACATAGATCGCATAGAGATAGCAGAAAATGCAATTGCGTCTGCAGTTGCGGCTTAATGCTGCGTCTTAGTACTTTCTGTTCTGCGCTTGTTTGCGTGTCTCTCTTTTAGCTATCTACACAAGTTAAGCCATAACTACAAGCGATTTTTTCTTTGCATTTCCTTGCTGCATCAAGCTGTGCACTTGTGTCCTTATATCCTTGTTGTGGTTAACAAAATACAGTGTCTGCCACATAATTTTTTGTTTTGTTTTTATTTCCTTCTCTTTCCTTTCTCAACTAACTTGATGTTCTAATGCAATGCAACAACAGCTTTTGTTTTTCTGCTGTTCACGTTCGTTAGTCTTCGCTCAGCTGGCTTTCTATGTATAGCCAGCGCTGGGTTATTATTGTTGTTGTTAAATTAGTTATGCTTTTATACAATTGATGAATGGTGGAATACTCTGCTACACAGTTAGTTGCTACCACTTGTTGGTGATGAAAATATTATACACTCATACATAATTATGTACATAGATAGATAGCTAATCAAATTAAAGGCTTTAATCACACTAATATGAATGTGTGACTAACTACGCATTGTTTTTGTTATCCAAACAATTTTTGTTTTGTATTTTATTTTAAGCGTTGAATACGAAAACCTCTACTTCAAATACCAGCATATTTTTTCAAATTCTTATTCATTACCTTATTTTCCCATCTTCCATGTGAAAGAATCCTTTAACCAGAATACACCACTGTATAACCAGCGCGGTCATGAAATAATGTATATCCAGTTGCACTATAACCATATTTGCGCAAGAATGTCATTAGAAAGCCGAAGCCAATGTAGATCATCACCTGTACATCTTGGAAATCTATAAATACAGAAATAACAAAAAAAAAATATAAATTTGATAACTTGAATCGATTAAATTAATTAAGACGCATTTATAGTTCATTTCCACCAAGCCTTAATTTCAGTTTATGCCTGTTGGAAAAAGAGATCACAGTTGCGGGGGGGAGGGGTCTTATATTTAAGTACACGCAATCGAAACCAAAAAAGTGAAAAGTAAGAAACAAACTTTGCTGATCACCCCATTTTAATGCTATTTACACTTACCTGTAGCCGTTCGATTCTCTCCGATATCACTGTGGAATCTACTCTACACAATGCAGTAGAGAACAGGGCGGCGAATTCATATCTCAATTCGCCTTGGTAGAGAATTGTTACAGAAACGAGCTACTGGACACCTAACTACAGTTAAGCTCTTGGTGAAAATGGGCTATAGTTGTCCAAAAAATTCTGAACAGATTTTACGGCATTTTTTAATAACACTGTTCTACTGACGTAATCTAAATGTTTCACAGTTCTTCCGTTTTCATAAAATTCCTTTTTTGCACAAACAAATTGCGCTTTTCTGAAATTAATTCTGAAATATAGTAAACATTTATGGGGCGTTCCATACCAAAACGGACGGGGTTCACACTTCATGTGTTTGATTTGTTTCAAATTTTTAGGGTTGATGCATAAACTTAAATAATAAATAAATATGAAATTTGAGCTCGATTAATACAATTTTAAAAATTTTACAGCACAAAAACAAAAACAAATCGATTTAATAGTTTTCCAAATATCTCGAGAACGGGGCGAGGAAAAACTTTGAAAAAACTTACACATACACACATCAAAATTCTCTATAAAAATAAATATTTTTTTTTAAACTTTTTTTCTTGAAACATTTTTGTTGAAAAAATTAAATTTGAAAATATGCCATCTCAAAAAAAAAATTGAGAAAAATTACAATGGTTATTTTTTGGCCTAATAAATTATGTGTATAAAACAATTTTTATTGAACTTGAGGCCGTTTTATGTGTAGAATTGTTGTGGAAAAACAACAATCTTTTATAAATGGTAGAAGTTATAGCTGCTATTTCAGAGATCACCTCATCAGACTTCTTCATCGCGGTCACTGGGATTCGACACAGCGACCCCCGCTTACAAAGCCAATGGTCTACCCACTGCGCTAAGTTCGCCTTATTTATTGGCGTAGCACCGGCAAGAAAAAAAGTTTTAAAAGTATAATTAATTTATTCACTGCAGCTCATTAGGATAGCGCATCCCTTTGTTGAACTTTTATTATCGGATCTGCACTAAGAATATGCTATATTTTTATAAAAAATTAATGAATACTAAATGAACTAATAGAAAACTGTGAATACTGAGGTTAAAAGGAGTGCGCCATTTAAACTCGACCCTTCATAAATACTATAGCCTGGTAGAAGATCAAACGCTTCGGATACCGGATCTGCCGCGCAGCGTAGCTAGTCGAAATAGCCGGTTCGGGAATCTCGGATGGACGACCACCTTTTTTCTCCGTCACCAGTGAGACTTTCGAAAAAAGGTCCTTAGAAGACACATCTTCTGTATCAACTACAGATACGACACCGCCGAGTTCTGCTACCTTAGAACAGCTCACAACGAACTAGCCTAATTTTCGATCCCGCAGAAACAGTCATGGTTATCTGTTCAAAGAAAACGCGAATCGTCCGGATCCAGCTTCGTTGCGGGGAATCGGGGAAGGAGCTGCCTTTTGCGGGGAACTTTAACTATTTAATTTAACACCATTAAAGCGCTTACCTAGAGTGCAGAATTAAATGCTTGCTCATAAAATAAAATCCAATTAAAGGCTGGATTATGACTATACAAAAAAAATTACACAGCAACTCATCCTCAAACTGTCATCAGTTTATTAAGCGTATTTATCGTTTATTAATTGAAGTTAAAGATGCTTCAACATACAAACATACATAAATATGATGCATAATTGCCATATATGTATGTACATATGTATACATGTGTATGTATTCATTTGCTGTATGAAGCGCGCGTTTATACAAAAAAAACTAAGCACGCACTTGCTTACATTTCCATGGATTAACAAAAACGAAACATATGCTTGTACATATGTATATATACATACATACACACATGTTCATATGTGGGTGCAAAAGTATGCATGTACATATGTTGCTCAGCTATTTGCTTTGTGGGCCATGCATATTAATTTCGTCTAATTGCTTCAATTAGGCTGCTGCAATTGCATTGTCAAAAGCCAATTGTATTAAGATTAATGGCAGAGTTTATCTTGGCTATCAGTAAGCGTGTGGGATATTCATCGTATGTATTTGCATTGGCGGATTTATGTAAATACACAAACGCGCGTGAAGCTTTCAATAATTAACTGTAAATAAACTAAGCTCACCCACACACACACACACACAGCTATATGAAATGTACTATATGTTTGTATGTGTCTGTTAATAATTAAAGGCTAATATAAAAATGCTTTAATTTGATGTTGAATTCTGCTGGCAATATTTTTAAAAAGCATGTTTAATTTTTGATGACTTCGACAATAAAAGTATGTAATCTTTTTTTATTATTTTGTCCTCGCTGCAGTTCGACGATCTACGGTAGGTAGACACATGCTGCCTAGTCTGCGTCTGACCCACATTGAGCAGCAGATTTTTTTCTAGCAGAAAAAAGGTTAAACAAAAATTTCGATGCAACCCACTCCTTAGTATCCGGCTGAATAGAGTTCTAAAGTCCCCGGGATCCTATCGTTGTAGTGGTGACAGCAGGCTCTTGCGATCGACGCACTATGGCACTGCTGACCAGATGTGCAGGTGTCTGCCTCAGGTTTGGATAGTCGGCGAGCGACTGAGGAAAATCTCTTGGCGTCTGCTCCAATAAACCTTGCTTGAGATTCCTGGAGTACTGCATTGTGAGCCAGGCTGAGGCATATACAATGGACCTAGCTCAATTAAAACAGCACCTCGTTAAGGTGCTTTGTAGGAGCTGGGGTCGGCAAGAACTGACCTGGTATGCATTCATAAATGCCACCGATCCCTACAATCTGTACGACAACATATAGCCATTCTGTACTGGGTCCCGGACACAGTGGTATTACGGGAAATGATTAAGAATGAATCTGAGAAAGGATTGAGGAAAACAAATCAAAGCAAGCAATTCTTGCCTTCACCAGTTCAGGAGATGGCTAGAACAGCTAGTAATTAGAGGAGGTCTAATCTGCTCTGATAACACCGTGCGACAAAAACCAAAAATTTTTAAAACACGAAAAAATCAATATATTTACAGAACTAGGAGCCAAATATAGTATAACTGCGTTTTTAATTTTTCTCTGTGACGTTAGAATTTCGTTTTTTAAAGGACTTTGAAATTTCTAGGATATGATTGCATACAAAAATTATTTAAAAGATTTGGTGCATTGTAGAATAACAATATGGGTATCAATCAAAAGAAAAAATTCTGTGGAATTTAAAAAAAGGTTAATTTTTGAAACAGGTGGCGGCCCTTTTGAAAATATTTAAAATTGAAATTAAAATTTTAAAGCTTTCTTAGACCTCATTTGTTTGGCATCCACACACTTTCGCATTTATAAGTTTATTGGGATTTCATTTTACTTTTCAGTTAAATTGATTTTAAATTCCTTAAATGGCGATTGCCACCATCGTCAATAATTATTTCGAAAATGATACAGCTTTCTCAAAACCTCTCTCGTTTGATACCCATAGTAAAACATTTTATCTAAATTTTTATTTAGGTGGCAGCCCTATTCAAAAATATATTCTAAATAAAGCTTTCTTGCAAATCTCTCGTTGGGTACCCATAATAAAATATTTGGCTTAACATGTAAACTAAATTGATCTAGAATTTCTAAACAGGTGGCAGCCTGATTTAAAAATATTTTTAAAATAAATCTTTCTGAAACCTCTCTCGTTTTGTATACATATTAAAATTTTTCGTTTAATTTGATATTTGATTTGATGTGAGCTTTTTGAACAGGTGGCAACACTCTGAAATATATGTTTGAAATAAATCGTTTTTGAACCCTTTTTATTTGACAACCACATTGTTGTGATATTTTAATAAGCTCGTTAATTATTTGCCTTTAACTTTTTTTACTGGAAAAATCACGGGATCCCGGGATTAACATTCCTAGTACCTAAATAAGTACTACATGCCGTATGAGTAACAAAAGTATTTCTGAAGGGGCGAAGGTGAAATAAGTAATTTAATGTGATGAATGGGATTTCTTTATCTTAACCGCTGCATATTGCATATTGTTCTTCAAAGAAATCACATTTTTTTTATCAAAATTGTGCAGAGAACTTTCTAAATTTAAAAGCTAATAACAGCTTATATAACTTTGAATTATTGCCGGAACCATTTTTCATTTCAAAGACAGCTTGCAGTGATACAATCAGCAATTAAAGCCTTTGGCAAAAAGTACCTAAACTTGCGTATTATGCACAGATATATGTACATACACATGTACTTATCAAATAAGTATATGCACTACTGCGCACAGAAAATATGTAAAAACTTTTCCCACTACCTCTTTTCTTTTCATTTCTGTTTTTGTTATTTGCTTGTACGAGTAAAGTATTCATATCTTACAAAAAATTTTGATTGACAACTTGTATCCAAACA